GTCCGCTGCCCCCCGCCGCTCACCCTCCCCTCAGGGCCCCCCCGCCCCCCGCCGCGCCCGCCCGCCCTGAGGTAACGCCCGCCGAGGCGCGGCGTCCTCCATTTTCTCTCAGCGCCGCCGCTTGAAACACCCGCGGGAGCCGGCGCGATGGACGGAGGGGAGGGACCGGAGACAGCGTCCGCCGTCTCCGGTCCCTCCAGCCCTGGAGCGCTGAGGAGCTGCGGAGCGAGGCGCTGCCCAAGAAGGATATCATCAAATTCCTTCAGGAGCACGCAGCCCAGGCGGTAAGCGGGGGATTAGGGGTGTGTGTGGGGTCTCCCTTCCCCTCCGTGTTCCCGTTTCCCCCTCCCTCCTTCCCTCAACCGGCGTGTCTTTGCAGTTCCTGGCGGAGCACAAGCTGCTGGGGCAGGTGAAGAACGTGGCCAAGACGGCCAACAAGGAGCAGCTCATCGCCGCTTACACGCAGCTCTTCAACACGCAGGTGAGGGGCCCGAAGGGGGGGACGTGGGGGCTGGGGGGACACGCCGTGGGGGTCGGGGCGGTGGCTGATGGCTGCCCCTCTCGGCCTCCCCTCAGCGGTTCAAGGGCACGGACGGCGCGGAGAAGGCGGCGGAGAAGGCGAAGCCCGCCAAGGCGGAGGAGGCCAAGGGGAAGGCGGCGAAGCCCGAGGAGGCCGTGGAGGAGGTGGGGGGCAGGACCCCCAACTCGTATTGTTGGGGCGATCCCGTGGGTGAGTTTCAGTGGGGGCCGGTGACAGGACGAGGGGCAACGGGCACAAACTGAAACAGAGGAAAACCCATCTCAACACGGGGAAAAACCTCTTTCTTTTGAGCATGGTAGAGCCCTGGCAGAGGCTGCCCAAGGAGGTGGTCTGGAGAAGAGAAGGCTGAGGGGGAAACTGATCAACAGCTATAAATACCCAAAGGGTGGGTTCCAAGATGGGGCCAGGCTTTTTCCAGTGGTGCCCAGGGACAGGACAAGAGGAAATGGGCACAAACTTGAATGTAAGAAGTTCCATCTCAACATGAGGAGGAGCTTGTTTGCTGTGAGGGTGGCAGAGCCCTGGCAGAGGCTGCCCAGAGAGGTGGTGGAGTCTCCTTCTCTGGAGACATTCAAACCCCACCTGGACACGTTCCTGTGGGACCTACTGTGGGTGACCCTGCTCTGGGCAGAGGTTGGAGGAGATGATCTCCAGAGGTCCCTTCCACCAGTCTGTAATTGTGGGCCAGCCAAATTATCCAGCTCTTCAAAACCTTGGTTACCACAAGAAGTCTGGTACCATGCCTTAAGCTTAGGCAGCTTCTGCAACGTAATTAGCGATGGGCCCTGTGCCTCCCTCCCAAAGCTTCGGTCTTTGCTGAAAACTGCTCCTGGGCTGCTGTGTTTCCCCCAGATCTTCCAGCCCTGCAATATCACACGAACGTGCCACTCCCTGACACTGCATCCGCTCACGCCATGCCTTGAACTAACTGGTGGTTCTGTCTTGAACGCGGTTTGTCTGAGGCTAGTTAATGCAGCAGTCCTGACTCCTGTTCTTATAAACTTAGGGGCCGCCAAAGTATACAAAATCCATTCTAAAGAAGGGTGATAAAACCAACTTCCCGAAGAAAGGGGACACTGTTCACTGCTGGTACACAGGGAAACTACAGGACGGGACAGTCTTCGATACCAATATTCAAACAAGTAAGGTCACGTACACACCGTTGGGCTTTTGTCGCAAATGCAGGCAGAGGCAATTAGCTGGACTCGTTAAGCAGCCTGGGGAGGTGCTCCCTTCTGGACAGGGTGTGTGGTGGGCGTCCTGACAAACCGCTTTTACCCTGGGGGTGCTGAGCTGAGGGGGTGTCCCTGCAGTCTGCTCCTGGGGCCTGGCTTTCCATTGGGGAATGCAGAGAGGTATTTTTGGGACTGGCTGGTGTCGAGTGACAGCGCTGCCTCTTGCCAGGCCTGGCCACTGGCATTCTCCAGTGCAGATGGAACGGGAAACGCAGGGATTTAATGGGGGCTGGAACTGCTTGGGAGGAAAGATGGTTCCTGCTCCAGGAGCTCCCCTTATCCATGGAGCCTGGACTCACTGTTAGTACGGTCCCTGTTGTATGGTCTTACGATGTTGTATGGTCCCTATTGCTTTCTTTGCTTCACTAACATGTTTCTGACTTGTACCATCAACTTTAGTGATTCAGAAAGGAGGCTTTGAGCTTCTCTGGGTCAGTATCTGAAAGATGCCTATCGAGGCCAGGTTGGAGGGGGCTTGGAGCAACCTGGTCTGGTGGGAGGTGTCTCTGCCCAGGGCAGGGGGTTGGAACTCCATGATCTTTAAGGTCCCTTCCAACCCAAACCATTCTACGATTCCAATTTTAGCTCTTGGTGCAATTTGAACGTTTAATAATGTTTTTAGTGTAGTTTTCCTCTAGAAATCCGATAGTGGGCTAAAAATAACGTGGTAAGAGCATATATTTATATAAAGCATGATTGAATAGTTATTTTAGGCAGAAGCACGACACGCGCCGGTGCGATGTTAAAGCAAACGTGGCCGCTGCTCACACCCCGAGGGAGATCCCTGGCACCCACACGAGCATTGGGATGGGCACTGAAATAAAACAGATCTTTAAAACATCAGCCCTGGGGGTGTTTTATTTCCACAAAGGAAAAGCAGGTGAAATACTGGCATTCTCCAGTGCAGATGGAACGGGAAACGCAGGGATTTAATGGGGGCTGGAACTGCTTGGGAGGAAAGATGGTTCCTGCTCCAGGAGCTCCCCTTATCCATGGAGCCTGGACTCACTGTTAGTACGGTCCCTGTTGTATGGTCTTACGATGTTGTATGGTCCCTATTGCTTTCTTTGCTTCACTAACATGTTTCTGACTTGTACCATCAACTTTAGTGATTCAGAAAGGAGGCTTTGAGCTTCTCTGGGTCAGTATCTGAAAGATGCCCATCAAGGCCAGGCTGGATGGGGTTTTGAGCAACCTGGTCTGGTGGGAGGTGTCCCTGCCCAGGGCAGGGGGGTTGGAACTCCATGATCTTTAAGGTCCCTTCCAACCCAAACCATTCTACGATTCCAATTTTAGCTCTTGGTGCAATTTGAACGTTTAATAATGTTTTTAGTGTAGTTTTCCTCTAGAAATCCGATAGTGGGCTAAAAATAACGTGGTAAGAGCATATATTTATATAAAGCATGATTGAATAGTTATTTTAGGCAGAAGCACGACACGCGCCGGTGCGACGTTAAAGCAAACGCACGCAAAAAAAAACCTGTCTTTCAGGTTCAAAGAAGAAAAAAGCAGCCAAACCTTTGAGTTTCAAAGTCGGAGTAGGAAAAGTCATCAGGGGGGTAAGTGGCTGTTTGTCTTTCTGGTGGGGGTAGGAAGGCGAGTTGGAAGGATTGACATCTGGAGCCTTCTTGGCATCTCTCTCAGGTGAAATTCCCTCCCAAGCTCTGTAAAAGTACCCTCGCGTTCTGTAAATTCCCCTCTTCTTTTCGGTGTTTTGAGCGTGGCGTTTTGGTTTTTCCAGTGGGATGAAGCTCTCCTGACCATGAGCAAAGGAGAGAAGGCTCAACTGGAGATCGAACCCGAGTGGGCGTACGGCAAGAAAGGGCAGCCCGATGCCAAGTATCCTTCTGCTGCTAATTACTCATTAAGGAGCCTGGAAAACGCTGGGTGGAATGAAGTGCTTTATGGGGGGAGTGTTCATGTGGGACCCTCGGCAGGCTGAGTGTTAACAGTACAACAAACCTCGGGGCAGTCAACAGCCGGGTGCAGTTCCCTGTTCAGGAGGTCACTCTTATTTTCTGCCTGTTTATTTTTTTAATTATTATTATTATTCCAGCTGCTTCCAGGGGTTATTCCTGCAGCAGGCTGGGGGTGCGGGAGGGCAGTGACAATGGGTAAAGCCCGGGGTACAGCTGGAAGAGGGGGACACACGGCTGCTCCCTCTTGCTCCAGCCCCATGTTGCCATCATTTCAAGGCCTGTTCTAGCTCACCCTCCCTCTGCAGTATGGGGGGAGAGCAGGGACTGCCCAAAGCTGCAGTCAAGGCTGTGGCAGGACTCACCACCAGAGCAATGGGGATAACGAGGAACGCATCTTTAATTAGAGTATCTGGGGCCTGGCTGTGTGATGACAGCTCGGGGTGGGCAGCAGCTGTGGTTCCATGCTAAATGGGGGATGAAATCCAAGCCCCCAGAGGAGAAGCAGGACAGGTGGTGCCTCGCTGAGTGCTGACCCGTGTCACAAACACGAGGTTGGGGTTTTTTTTTTTAAGCTTCCTTAACGTGTGCCACCAGGATCCCGCCCAACGCCAAGCTGTTCTTTGAAGTGGAGCTGGTGGATATTGAATGAAATGAAGCGTTTCCTTCGCTGCTGGGAACCCCCTCCCCATCACGAAAGCTTCTGACAATGCAGTTTTGCTCTTGTAACTTTCAGGAAATAGTTACAACCGTGGCCTTGTACCCAACTCCAGTGTGTTGTCCCTGCCCCTGACTGCTGTACAGTAACACACCACTAAAGAAACCACAGTTTGTACGTGTGACTGCACCTCTTTGTCTATGTCATCCACTTGAAACTGCTTCCTCTCACTCTGGGGGAGAAATGGCATACATCTCCAGTAAGTGGTGACAGGAGAACCTGCCCCAGCTGGACGGGCCACGACTGTCACCGTCCCTCGCTGCAGTGAGGGAGCTTCCACTGGAAATAGTGTAAAAAGTCAAAGTATCGTTTATTTCAATACTGGAGGCCCCAGCAGTGTTTCCCCCCCAGCCCTACCCCGTGTCGCTGCCGAGCTCCACAACAGCACTCGCCCAACAGCTCTAGTTAAGATAGCAGGAGAGGGGAGGAGGAAAACACATTTATACTCCAGGCACTAGGTTTCTCCTTTAAATGTGTTTTAAGAAGCGTGAGGCGTGCTGCCCCCCTTCCAGAAGCGTCGCGCGGGCGTTCCTCTTCCTCAGCCCCAAGAGCTCCTCTGGAGGAAGCAGGGGCGTCACTGCAGCACTCCAAGAAAGGTCAGAGAACTATGGAATTCCTTGCTTTTATTACAAAAATGGGAATGATCACTTTGATCCAAATGAAAAAAACAAACAAAAAAAAGGCTTGCTCAC